TGTGTGTGTGTGTGTGTGTGTGTGTGTGTGTGTGTGTGTGTGTGTGTGTGTGTGTGTTTGTCTGAATAAACTTTTGCCAGCTGCAGCAGATATTATTAAATGCTGACCAAAAAACATTGTGACTTTCTTTTACTCTACACAACAATACTAGCATTGGCTGTATGAGCACCAAGTTTCATCAGTTTCTATGTTGCTTCTACTGATAAAAGTTAATTTTATTTCTAGTGCTCCTAAATTTAATTAATACCCTTTGTTTCAATCATTCTGGTGCAATAAAGGCAGAGTGGCAGTGTGGCTAGGGTAGTCAGCCTGTAACAGGTGGATTGCTGGTTTAATCCCGTTCCATTCATCTCAGTCACTAGCCGTGTTTCCATCCAATTTGAAATATGAGTGAATTTTTAAAATGTCGCAAAATGAAAAAAAGAAGAAGAAATGCAAATCAGATGYGTTTCCTTCAACTGGCTTGGAGCGAATCAACCAGGCTACACAAAGTAATTACATCAGACATTGACTTCATGCATAACTGTAATAAACAGGAAGTAGAAGATGCAAACTTGTCAAATCAACTAGTTTTGGTGATGCTACATGCTATCTGGTACCGGTACCGGACAGACAGTGGGAACAGCTGATCAATGCTTTGAGGCCCAATGTTCGCCACATCAGAACTTATTYGGCMAAYRYKTTTCCATCTCCCCTTTTGCGCATTGACTCTTTTTCRAAAAATCCAAAAAACACCTCAAGCGAGCTTAAAAGTCTTTTAGCAAAATAGAGGAAGTTTTTTTGAATCATGCTGTTTCCATTCACCTTTTCTAATGCAATACTTCGAAGAAGAAAAAAAAATGATGGAAACATGGCTATCGTGTCTTTGGGCCTTGCCTGCTGGTGGTGGTGCAGCATGGCAGTCCTGCCCCTGTCAGCCTGCCCCAATACAACTGTGGCTACGATATAGCTTTTACACCATCATAATGAATGTGTGCATGAATATATAATATAAAGCATATTTGAGCGTCTAGAAAACTACTAAGATTAATGCATTATAAAATTATGGTTCGTTTTATGCAAGCTTGTAGTGCCAAAGAAAGAAAAGTTTATTTA